CTCTAAACACTTAATTCTGGTGGAGTTGCTTTGAATGTTATACATTTCCTAATTTCTTCTTCTAAACATATACTGCTGGGAAAGTTGGAGGCTACTTTTTATATTTATGTTGCATCTGACAACCATGAGTGTTTATTAGGTCCAGGAGTTTCCTGGGGACTCAACAGGGTCATTTAAGTAACGAATCAGTTTTCTGGAAATAGGAACAGTGTGACTTCTTCCTGTCCTACTTTGATCCCTTTTATGCCAATCTTCTGTCTACTTCTGACAGCTTATATAAAATCATCATTGTCTTAAATATGAAGGTGGAGAGTGTGCACCCTTGTCTCCTTCCTGGCTTTAGGGGAAACGCTGTGTGTCTCTCCTTTGGACATAATAGCCACCTGTCTTCCTACCTCTAAATATGGGAGGTGGGAAATTCTATAGTGTCTCCTGACCCTTTATGAGAGACTGGCTGTATCTCGGGGCTCAGCCTTCTGTCAGGACAGTTCAGAGTGTGTCTCAGGAGGGAAGGAGAGAAGGTCCCTGAAATGACCAAGACAGTTCACCTTCAGTCTGCAGTGCTGTGTGGGCCACAGCCTTGCTCAGGCCCAGTTCTCTGCCCACACCTGAGGTCTCTGGGGTCTGAATTCAGTGATGCTGAATCCATCAGCCCCACCCACCAGTCAGGAGCAGAAGTCCCTTCTTCCTGATGTGACACCAGAGTTCTGTGACCCTGGGCTCTCTCACCCATATCTAGAATTTCCCAAAGATGAGATTATCCAGATCCCTATGTTTAAGCTAGAGGGGATTTTTCACTCCTCCCTTAATCCATTGCTAAACCATCCCAGGAACGTCACAGGAACCCTGCTGGAGTCCCCTGCAAAACACCTCAACTTTCCAACTCTTTTCCTCAGACCCTCCAAAGACACATGTGACCCATTACCCCAGACCTGAAGGTAAGGTCACCCTGAGGTGCTGGGCCCTGGGATTCTACCCTGCTGACATCACCCTGACCTGGAAGAAGGATGAGGAGGAACTGACCCAGGACATGGAGATGGTGGAGACCAGACCTGCAGGGGATGGAACCTTCCAGAAGTGGGCAGCTGTGGAGGTGCCTATTGGAGAGGAGCAGAGATACACATGCCATGTGGAGCATGAGGGTCTGCCTGAGCCCCTCACCCTGAGATGGGGTAAGGAGGGAGTGGGTGCAGAGCTGGGGTCAGGGAAAGATGGAGCCTTCTGCAGAGCCTGAGCAGGGTCAGGGCTGAGAGCTGGGGTCATGACCCTCACCTTCCCTCTCTGTCCTTCCCTTCCCAGAGCCTCCTCAGTCCACTGTCCCCATCATGGCAGTCATTGCTGTTCTGGTTCTCCTTGGAGCTGTGATCATCATTGGAGCTGTGGTGGCTGTTGTGAGGAAGAGGAAGGGAAAAGCAGGTAGGAAAGGGCGGGGTCTGAATTCCCTCCCATCCCCTTTTAGAAGTGTGCTCTGCTCATGGAAACATCCACACCCCCACAGCTACTGTCTCTAACCTGGGACTTCTGTAGGTTCTGGAAACTTCCTAGGGTTGGGCTCCTCCCTGGTCTCTCACAGCTTTTCTTCTCACAGGTGGAAAAGGAGGGAACTATGCTCCAGCTCCAGGTAAGTGTGGGGAGCAGGATTGTCCCTGAAGCCTGTGGAGTCAAACTGTCATTTGTGGGGGCCTCTGGAAATCCATAATAGTTCCTCCAGCAAAATGTTCTGGTTGGGCTGCTTTTACATTCCTACAAAAAATGTTATATTTTTTATCCAAGGCAGGGACAGTTCCCAGAGCTCTGACATGTCTCTCCCAGACTGTCAAGGTGACACTCTGGGACCTGATATGGGGTGTGGGAGGGCAAAGTGGACATGACTGGGTTTCAGGGACTCCCAGAATCGCCTGTGAGTGAGTGGTGTGTTGTTGGGATGTTGTCTTCACAGTGATTGTTCATGACTCTTGTTGTAGCTTGAAGACAGCTGCCAGGCATAGATGGAGTGACAGACAGTGTGTTCAGGCCTCTCCTGGGACATCCAGGGCCCCTCAGTGCACCCTCACCAACAGTGTCTGATGTTCCCTGTGATCTTATGGACTCAATGTGAAGAACTGGGAGCCCAGCCCAGCCCTGCACACCAGGACCCTGTCCCTGCACTGCCTGTGTTCCCTTCCATGGCCAACCCTCCTGTTCCAGCAGACAGGAGGGGACATCTCCATCCTGTCACCTCCATGCTGGCCTGAGCTGCAACTCCTGACTTTCCCCACTGAAAACAGAGATCTCAGTTTGAACTTGATTGTTCACATCCTTGATCTGACAGGTTGATTGGCTGTTAAATAAATTATTGAGATACTGAGAGTTTGAGGAGGAAATAAATGGCAGCATGGAGAAATTCCCAGACTCTGTGCTCATTGTGCTGTGTGCATCTGGTGGGACAGGTGATGTCGTGGGAGCTGAGTGTGAACAGGGCTGTGTCCAGGTTGATCTCAGTCCACTGTTTGTGGAGAGCTGTGCCACACCTTGCCTCAAAGATGGCGCCGGCTTCCGCATTCCACCATCCCGAAGGCTCGGTAATAAACAACTCCTTATTTGGCCTGCTCCCATCCCGCCGGGGTCAAGCCATAGGCTCACCAGAATGCATACACCAATTGTCATGACCACCTCGACCAGCAAGGAAGACGCGACTCAGGAATCCTTCTCACAAGCGGTTTATTCAGGAACCTTGAAACAACGTGGAGGCAGCCACGGGAGAAACCCCTCCTGCTCCCTAAATAACTGAGGCCAGCCAACCCTGAGCAGCCACGTGTGTGCAAGCCATAGGCTCACCAGAATGCATAAGCAATCTGATGATGTGGCGCAGCTCTCCACAACTGTTGGCTGTGACATGGTCACTCCTCAGCTCTGTCACCTCCTGGCTCTGTTCTCCTCATCACTTAGAACCACTTGATGAGATCTGTGATCACAGGGATGGCCAGAGTCCTGTCCTGTCCCCAGGAGTGTGAGCAGCCAGGGCAGCTGGGACAGATCACGCTGTGCTCTGACCTGGCTGTAGCTCTTTACCACCTATTCACTGTCTATTGTTATTTTTTTAGTTTGTGTGGAGGACTAAGCCTGCTCTTGTTGTGTGAGTGGAGTCTGCCTCCTTATCCCTTGTGCTCCCTGAGTGACAGCATTCAAACGTGTTTTTCCTTCCTTTCCCATTTGGACTCTTCTAGGCCCCTGCACTCAGGAGACTGTGACCTAAGAATATGAACTTCTGTCTCCTGAGCTCCTGCCTCCTTCCAGGCCCCTCCCTGGAGGTTCTCTCTACTTTCCCATCATTTAGAATTTAACCAGAGTTGTAGGATGGCAGAGAGGTGTCATCTCAGATCTGTCCTGTTGAATCTGTGTTCTGCCCAAGGTCCCCTCTCCCTCCCTGGCTCTGGTAATCCTATGCTGTCCCCAGTGGTGACTCCAGGATTTACAGGCTGAGTCTACTTTACATTTGTGTTTATCAATCAGGAAAAGGAAGGAGATAACGGGATGCACAAGTAGGGAGGAAGGAGTCAAGTCATCTGTACCCGCAGGTGACACGAGTCTGTATAGAAAATACCCCAAGTCTCCTTCAGAAAACTCCACAGCTGATGACCACCTTGAGCAAAGTGACAGGTCACAAAATCATCATGCAGGCATCAGTAGCTACCTTGTTTACAAGAAAGCCACACTGAGAAATAACTCAAGGGGGAAAAGTTCCATCACGACACCCCAAAACCAAAAAAGCTTGAAATAAGCCAACATGGAAATTCCAAGATGACAACTACAAAACACTGAAGAAAACAGTTGAGGAAGACACTGAAAGGTGAGAAGATCTGCTCTGTTCATGGGTTAGAATAATTAATGTTAGAAATGGTCTTCATACTAAAAGCAACCTACAGATCTAAAGCCACCAATCAGAATTCAGTGCTGTTCTCACGGATATAGGCAGAGAAGTCAAGCAAAAGCATAAATACCCTGGACAGTCAAAGCAATCATGAGCACTGGAATAATGCTGGAGCCAGGCATGGGGTGCACATTTTTAATCTGAGAAGTTGGGAGACATAGGCGGGCAGATCTCTGTGACTTGGAGACCAGTCCAGTCTGGTCTGCAGTTAGAGTTCCAGGCCAGCCAGGACTACACAGTAAGACCCTGTCTCAAAACAGCAACAACAGGAGCTGCTCTTCCAGAGTCCTCAGTTCAATTCCCAGCACCCACATGGTGGCTCACAGCCATCTGTAATAGGATCTGATGCTCTCCTCTGGCCTGTAGGCATCCATGCAGAACATTCATATACAAAATATAAATAAATAAA